TAAGCAGAAGAAGATGGATGTACTGTATGGAGCAAATGACTTTCTTTTGCAAACTTGGCACTAGGACTGTAATGTGAGCTAAAAGGATTTTTCTCATCAGAATAATCAGACATTTCAGCATGTTTAGACAAACATACCCGTTGTTCCTGACAGGAAACAAAAGTCTGAAATCCTGGCGCCACTCCGAAGCCAAGCTGGTCTATGAATGGCGGCTCATCTTGTGTGTGGATCTGAACTTTAATCCCCGCTTCAAACGACGTTTCATCTGTTGATGATAAAAGGTTAGGTCAGTTACAACAGGGATGATCATTTGCATGCACACCCCGGCCCCTCTCATCTAACTTAAAGCTTTCATTAGCAACCAGAAGCATTAAAGTGTTGGAATACCTTTGAGCCAGGGGGAGTAAAACAGATTGAAATAAAAAACAAACGTCTTATCTTGGCTGCCTAAAATCTTGGAAGCTATCATTGCCTATTCATCAAAATATGAATGACACCATACATTGTTTTTTTCTCATGAATGTCAAACACTTTAGGATCTTTACAGGTTAAATAGCTTGAATGAGGACTGAAAGGATAAAGTGAATGGATTTTCCAAACAGATTAAAAGACGACAATGCCTGTCTAACTGTAGCCTTTCCCACTGAAGAGAAAATCAAAGCGAATGTGTAAATTATTAAATAAATGATGATGAGGATAAAGCAAAATCAATACAGCTGAGTTTAATTCCCCACAGCACTCTACTGCATAGATTTTATACTAAATGGATGGGCCTCTTCACTTCAGACTTGAGGGAAACACCTCGATGATATAGACTTACCCATACACTTCAGCAAACATATTTCTTTCCTGATAACATTGCCCTTAAAATAGCAATTATGCAGCCAGCAGGTTGGATTCAAGAGATTCAGCTCCTCTGAGAGGCAGCTTGGTGATAATGTACAGTGTCTGTTTTCTGCCAGCTCACTCCCTCTTTTTCCCTTCTTGGTTGTCACTCGGTATCATCTTCTAAGTGCAAGGCTTTCCAACAATTTTCAATTAGGGAGCTCAGAGTTGTGGCAGGAGTTCAGCAAGAAAACTTCAACATAGTGTGACAGATTTGAACTATTACATATTGGCCCAGTGAGACTGAATACCAGGCCATTTTGTTCTGCTGTCAAAGAAAATACTGAGAGCTACAGATAGATCCACGAAAACACAAAGCCTTCCAATCTTGTATTTTTGTATCTTCATGCCACTCTTCAGTCATGGCCATCTTTTGTGGGTTTAATAACAATGACTTTTTTTCACTTTCTTGCAAAACAATTTTAAGTATTTATCAATTACTTAAACTTTCTCATTAGAGAAGTCAATATCTATAGAGAGCTGACAAAAAATACCGACCTTGTGAGACCAAGATTCTAAAAATTGTGTCAGATAAAAACAAACATTTAGACATCTGATTTTTTTCTTGTATATCTTGTTGTAATTATTTGGTTCATACTTGAAACATGTTACATTTTCACTTGTAACTATGGTTTAATTTCTATTTTACAACCAAAACATGAGGTAAAGCTTGAAGCAAATGCTATTTTATTCTGAAATCATTGTATACAAACTTTTGCTATTTAATAGAAGGACATTGTTGGACAAAAAGACAACATTTCTGGTACTTTAAAGCAATACTAAGTAATTTTGGAGTTGTACTTCTATCTAGAAGGGCATTTAGAAGAGTACTGTTGTAAACACCGACTGCCCCCCAGTACTCCACAACTACAGGGCACTGTCACTTTCAAAGCAAGCTTGAAAATGCATATGAAGATAAAATTAGTGAAGAACTTGGTAGTTTTGCAAATTTTCTATTATATATATTAGTGGTGGGTCGTTATCGGCGCTGGAGCTGGGTGTATACTAATGATGACTTTCACCTTGATATTTTAGCGCGGGTATATATCTGGGGGCGTGCTGACATGGATGCAGCTATAAAATGCTAGTGTCGTGTCAACGTAGTTATCCCTGCCAGAATTTGTATACCCTTGCCGGGAGCAGGCACGGAGTAGAAGGGACTGATTGAGTTCACTCCGCCTCAATTCCAAGCTACTAAACATGAAACTTTAGATGTATTATCTTTATGAAAGATGAGCATTCTTATTTTATTCTTCGCTTCTCATGTTATAGCAGAATATCGACAGTGACATTGATTGAAAAAAAGTAAATGCGAGAGTGTCTGCTTCAAAACAGCTCCTTGTTCGTTTCAACATGTTCCATAACATTGGGGAGTGTTGGACTTGTCAGGACTCCTGTTTTTGTGTTTGTATTTCTGTGTTTGTCTCCCTTCATCCACCAGGAGGCGCCTGGTTCTGGTCCGCCTCCTCACACACCTGCTGATGGTTTGCTCGTTAAACAGAGAGTTCTTAAGCTACTGACTGCCACTACTTTGACGCCAGAGTGTTTGCCAGTTTAGGGTACTCTAGCC